GGTCAGTTCAAAACCACCATAGGAGAAAGAGGAGGCTGTCTGCTCCTGTAAAGATTTATAGACTTCGAAACCCTACATAGGGTCCTTGTGAGTCATAATTCAATGACCATTTAGTTTGGGGATTTTGTATCAGAAAGAGAAGACAAAAGAATATACATATTACATCAGTTTCATACAAACACTACTCAAAAGATAAAGAATAGACTAATAGTGGTTACTTTCAGGGGGATAAAAACGAGAATGAAAGCAACATTCGATTGTATGAAGTTTGTATCATTGGTTGTTGGCCTTATGGATTAACTTATGTCTCCACGAAATACGTATTCTAAGTCCTTACCTCTATGCCTATCCATGGTTAGGAAGGTCTGGAGGCCCTGTAAGGTAAGCATGGGACTGCTAACCTCAAGGTTGGCAGTTCGACCCCTCCCCCAAGCTTTTCCTTGGAAGAATGATGGGGCTACCTGCTCCTGTAAAGATTTACAGCATTGGAAGAACTATATAGGGTCAATATGAATCTTCAGCCACTCTTTGACAATGGGTTTTGTTTTGATATTCATCTACGATTAGAATCCTATTTGGGAAAGTATTGTTCTTGCTATGTTAGTTACATAGTATTAGTGCTGGATGTACCTTAAATCCATCTCTTTTGAGATATAAAAGAAATTACGCAAGCAAGTGACAGAAGCAGAAATAAGGGAAGAGAGATACCAAAATACATGAAGCTTGCCTGGGATCAGAAGTTCAGAAGATAAAAAACCGCCTTCTTCCAGAGTTGACAGAGTGAAAGCCTTCCCCTAAAGCTAACACTCCGAATTTGTACTTTGAGCTTCGGAACCTGTGAGAAAATGAATCTCTGTTTGCTAAAGCCATCAACTTGTGACATTTCTGTTATACCAGCACTACAGTAGTAAGACAGGATTTGGAAGAGTAGGGTGCTGTTCTAACAGATATGGCAAATGTGGAAATGGTTTTGGAATTGAGTAACAGGTAGAGGCCGGTGGAGTTTTAAGATGCTCAACAATAAAAGCCAATGTTGCCTTGAGGAGACTTTTGGGAGCATTATGGACATCAAAAGCAATGCTAGGAAGGGTTCAGAAGGAAGTAGAAAGAGATACAGAGAAAGCCTCTATGATCTTAGAGAATACAGATAGCACCAGCCATGGAATGGGGCTAGAAATATGGTTGTTGCATATGCTGCTGGTGAACTTTAAAAGGAAATGATGACCATGTGATTGGATAGTAGAGGAAGGTCAATGCTTTTTATACAGTGACAAAGAACTTGTCTGAATTATGTTAAACTGCTTGGTGGACGGTAAGTGATGGACTTGGATATTTGCCTGAGGATTTTTCTAAGCAAGATCTTAAAGGACCCATGGGTTTTCTCCTTGTCCCCTACAGTCAAGTGAGAGGAAGAGAAGTACCTACAAATGAACTGTGCAAAACGAGAACAGAACTTAAAATTCAGTTGCACAAACTGAGGATACGTGTTCTGGAATGTTCACCAAGGGCATGGCGATACAATCTTTTGTTAAAGAGATTTAGCCTGTGACCGGTGGATCTAAACAACTAACTACCAGAGGAGGAAACCCATCAGCTTAGACCGAAGGAGACAGAGGAAGAACAAGAGAGAAAGCCGGCTGCGTCTGAGGATTCTACAGGTAGGAACCAGCCAAGGGAACTGTATCAGCTGCAGCCCAGATCAGCAGAACTGTCGGAAGAAGCACAGGAAGCAGCCCTTCTCCATTTCAATGGAAGAGACCATAGTCGCATGGATCACAAAGGATGAAGCCACCTAAACTTCGAAGCGTCTGATCATCACCAACTCAGTTCCACTGAAGTATCCGAGGGAGATGGGGCCACTGCCCAAAGCTGAGGGAGAGAGCTGCTATTCCCAAGGGACAGAAGAATATGACCTGATGGGGCCAAGGGATTGGGATTGTCCCTCAAATGAACTAGGAGAATGGGGTCCCCCAAAGCCAAGGGAGGAGAGGTGCCATCCCAGAGGCTTGGAAGGAAGCGCTCCAGAGATTTTCACCCAGAATCCAGAGAGCATGGCCAATGCTCAAAGGCTGGAGGGCAGGGCCAGTACCCAGAAAACAAAAAAACAGCATTATTTTCCAGCTTTGAGCACTAGCTGTTCTGCTGGGCTGGTACTTGTTTGGGGCCAATGATCTCTTTTTTCCCAGTCCAATTTCTCCCATTTGAAATGGAAATGTCTATCTTGTACCTGTTCAGCTATTGTACTTTGAAAACAGGTAACTTGCAGTCTAGATTTCACGGATTCACAGATGAAGAGGAGTTTTGCCACAGGATGGAAATGCAAACACCGTAAATCTCACTTGCATTTGATTGAGATAACTCAGAAGATGAGATTCTAGGCTTGGAGTGGATCAACGGTTTTGGATGATGTGATGGGTGAATGTGTTTTGTTTGTGGCAAGGGTATGGATTTGGTGGGTGGCAAAGAATAGAACCTTGTCCATTGAATTGCGCTCCCCCCAACATATATGTTGTAAACATCTAAGTCCGTGGTTATAAGGCCATTTGGGAATGACTTGTTTTGTCACATTATTGACACAGGATTCATGTAGGGTGTGTCTTAAATCAAGCATGTCAGAGACACTGAGATGAGGAAAAGAGATGCCAAGCCTCAGGAGGTTCGCCCGGGAACAGAAGCTCAGAAGAGACAGGTCTTCTTCCAGAGCCAACAGAGTGAGAGCAATCGCCTTCCCTTAGAACTGGCGCCCTGAATTCAGACTCGTGAGGAGGAAATGCTTGTGGTATTTCTCTTACACCAGCACTAGATAAGGAAGACAGGTGCTCTGACCAGGTGAATTATTTATTCCAAAGATGAAAAAGCACAGAAGCGCACATAAAAGGAGACTAACCCTACAGAACAAAGAATAAACCCTATAGAAGAAAATGAGAAAGACTTTCACTTGATCAGCTCCTTGGGCATGGGAGGTTAGACTGAGGAACATGTGCAAAAATGGGCTCTCGCAAAGGAGGCTGCCAGGGACGTTGTGCGCATTCATAGAAGCTTTGGGTAACAGGGCCCCTGGGTTTTCTCTTCTCACAGTCTGGTTTGGTTATTGTCCTAATCTTTCCCAAATTCAGGCATAGTCATACAGTCTGGGAAATCTTGTCTCTTTTGAAAATGTGACTATTTTTACACACTTCCTCAGAATCGCAGAGCCACCTCCTAAAGCAATGATATCCTTTGAAATCGCTCTCTTTTCCAGCACCTTCCCCATCTCCCACCACCACGGATATCCTAGAAAAATATTGCCAAAAGGCCTGTATTTGGTTTAGAGATTAACTGTTGAGCATCATATGACACCCCTTTGAGATAACTGGCAACACTCTGGGGTGTTGCAAAACCCAACTGGGGAGTGACTGCCTCAGTGGTCAGCAAGAAGCCACAGCCAAGACTGGAGGCCAAGTGGGGCCTGTAGTACTCTGGCCAGACCAGGGACAAGGGGGATGAGAGGGGTCAGAGCCCCCACCTCCACTCACGAGGCATTTCTATGGGTCCCAAGGATTGCTTAGGGGTACTTCAGAGGCAGGGAGTGCCCTTGCTTGAGAGCTACAGACAACGCCTGCTCCTGGGTGAGCTGCTAGGTTCCTGGGAGATGGAGCTAGTTCTTTTTTCCTCTGGGATAATTTTAGGTTATTACTTCCCCTCCAACCTTTCTAACTGCCAACCCCTGGCTCAGCCTCCCAGAGGGATTGCTTAGACCAGTGACCGACCACACAGCGTTCTTTTGAAACATACAGCTGCTCCGAAGAGACGCGCTAGGGCACGGCCCTGGAGGCATTTTCCATGATATGATTTTCCCTCTTTTGTCCCATTGTTTCAGGGAAGGAAGGACAGCCCAAGGATTAGGTCCCGATAGGCTTTAATAAAGGTAGCATACCTTCCTGCCCTTCAGCTTTAACCCCAGGGCTCCTGTTCCAGCCTTGGGATGGGATTCTATATCCACTTTGAAAGATTGCTTTAGAGATTTGGGAGCGCTTGGCTGGTGGAATTTAGCCTTAAGTCCGGATGCCAAGGAGGCAATGGGTATAGGAGTCTGGGCTCCTTCAGAAAGAGAAACCTTTGAATGGGATTAGATGAAAGTTGTCAAGAAGCATTCAATGATCTTGTATTTGAAGATGCAACATGTGAATTCCTCAGATCAATGCACCCTGGCCTCTGACAATTCAAAACGGAATATTCGAGGAAGTGGAATAAACGCTTTACCTTTGGGGAGGGAAAGCAGTGGGAGAGTTTGGGGCAGTGGGTGGTGATGGTGGGCAAGCCTCAATCGCAACTCCCCATTCATCTATTTTAATATGTTTTCATGATGATGATCTTCACAAGAAACTTTCTAAGTGGACAGGTGTGTGTGGAGGGGGCAGATAGAGAAGTCCAATTCCCCCAGTAGCTCGAAAGAACGAGAACAGAACACTGGAGTGTGAGTGAAATATTAGGGAGAGGGGACAGAGCTCACGGGAAAGAGGTCTGGGGAGACAGTGAAGGTACTGGCTGCCTCTATTATTTACCGTAATTTAAAATTCCGATGGGAGCGGCACCCAGTAGCTCCAGGAAGTCAGAGAACAGGGAGTGCTGTGTGGAGAGTGAATGCGGGGAGCTGGCCAAGGCAGGGGTGGACAAACCGTGGCAGAGAAGTCAGGGCGTCCAGTGGCTCTCAACTTGACGAAAGGAAAAGTGGCGCATCCATCCCGCCCCTCACCCCTCCCTCCGGTTCCCTCCCGGGGCCGCGTAGAGACTATTGGCCGCTGCCCCTTTAAGCGCCTTCACTCCACCTCCGAGGTGGCACGGAGCGGGTGGCGGGGTGTGTGTGGGGGGCTGTGGGGTTGAGCGTGCTCGTCCGGACGGCTAGGGGCGATGGCTCCGGCCAAGGGAATTGCTCCCACGCCCTGCTGTCCCCTCCCCTGAGTCGGGGGAGCCGGGCGACACCCACACCTTCTCTCCACGCCCCACGAACGACCGCGGGGATGGCTCCGTGGCCCCACCGGAACAGTTCTCTCACCTCGTGGCCTGACGCCCCCACCCTGGAGCCCACTGCCGCCAACACCAGTGGGCTGCCGGGGGTGCCGTGGACGGCGGCCTTAGCCGGGGCGCTGTTGGCGCTGGCGGTGCTGGCGACGGTGGCGGGCAACCTGCTGGTGATCGTCGCCATCGCCCGGACGCCGAGGCTCCAGACGATCACCAACGTGTTTGTGACTTCGCTCGCCGCGGCCGACTTGGTGGTGGGGTTCCTGGTGGTGCCTCCGGGGGCCACTCTGGCACTGACTGGTCACTGGCCCCTTGGCGCCACGGGGTGCGAGCTGTGGACCTCGGTGGATGTGCTGTGCGTGACGGCCAGCATCGAAACCCTGTGCGCCCTGGCCGTGGACCGCTACCTGGCCGTCACCAGCCCGCTGCGCTACGGCGCGCTGGTCACCAAGCGCTGCGCGCGGGCCGCCGTGGTCCTGGTGTGGATCGTGTCGACCGCGGTGTCCTTTGCGCCCATCATGAGCCAGTGGTGGCGCGTGGGGGCCGACGCCGAGGCGCAGCGCTGCCACTCCAACCCGCGCTGCTGCGCCTTCGCCTCCAACATGCCCTACGCGCTGCTCTCCTCGCTGGTCTCCTTCTACCTGCCGCTGCTGGTCATGCTCTTCGTCTACGCGCGAGTGCTCCTCGTGGCCACGCGCCAGCGGCGCCTGCTGCGCGGGGAGCGGGGCCGCTTCCCCCCCGAAGACTCCCCGCCGCCCGCGCCGCGCCCCCCGCCCCCGGCCCCGGCGGGGAGCGCCGCTTCGCCCGAGGAGGACCCGGCCTGCGGCCGCCGGCCCGCGCGCCTGCTGCCTCTTCGCGAGCACCGGGCCCTGCGCACCGTGGGGCTCATCATGGGGACCTTCACCCTGTGCTGGCTGCCCTTCTTCGTGGCCAACGTGGCGCGTGCCGTCGGGGGCCCTTCGCTCGTGCCCGCGCCGGCTTTCCTCGCGCTCAACTGGCTGGGCTACGCCAACTCGGCCTTCAACCCGCTCATCTACTGCCGCAGCCCCGACTTTCGCTGCGCCTTCTGGGATAATTTTAGGTTATTACTTCCCCTCCAACCTTTCTAACTGCCAACCCCTGGCTCAGCCTCCCAGAGGGATTGCTTAGACCAGTGACCG